GTGAGGTAGACATGTGGGGGCGTGTTAGAATGAGCCGTTTTAGGTAGGCGTGGTTGACTCTTAACTTTTATAAAGAATATCTCTTTGGATTTGAGACTATAGACTTTGCAACTTTACAGATCTTTTTTATGCACCAAGCGTTTGTAACACTCCAAAGAGAAAGGAAAAATTGAAATCGCATCATATGACCCCTTTAACGCACACCTAAAATTCGAATGCAACGGTTTTGCATTCGAATGTGGATTACTATTTCAAATTCGACGAATAAGCGAAATTCAAATTTTTTCTGACAGCCCTACCGTTTTCTACAATCCACTCTACTGCTTCCAAAATGGCAACTAACTCTACAGCATATACACTTAAATAGTCAGATGTTCTTTTACTAATATCCACCTTATACCTAATTGGCAAAGTTCTGGAGGAAATCTCTCTAGTCAGGCGTTAAATGCAGTGAAGCAGATGCACAAGAATACGAAATGAAAACAAAAATGCTGTGCTAATACCGTCAATCAACAATTTTAATTTAAAAGAAAGCAAAGCAAATCAAAAGCAGTTCCACAGACACTTAATATCAGCATAATAGAATGAGTAACTGCAATCGCAACACTTCAAAACAACAAGTGAGATTCATGATAACAGCTGAAATAAGGAAGGACATATATTAACATGTTGCTATAATGGAACAACACATCAGAGGTTTGTTGTGCCACAGTGCCCTTTCATATAAAAGCTGTTAATATGATGAAATAAGTTAAAACAGACAGGAAACTCAATCAGAAATTATACATTCTCATATCAGAATAAGAATGATTCCATAAGACAATACAAGCAAAAGCATGACAAGACTAGATGAACCCTATTTCTCACAAATCCAATTTATTGTGCCTGAGCATGGCAGATCATTCCAGTTGTTCAGAATAGGGTTTTCAGGATTCAGTTCAACACAGTCCTCAGTTCCATCAAGGTTATTTGGCTCACCCTCGAGCCAAAACCTGAATAAAATGTGTCAGATGTTCAATCATATCAGCCCCAAAGTTTTTACTCTTTCAGCAACTAACAAGTGAGGAGCATCACAAGCATTTCATGAATCAACAATACTAACACTACCGCAAAGTTTAGAGAGTAAAATAAAGTAGTACAGAATATTGAGCAGAAATGGAAGTGCAGAAAACTGACAGAAGTTTTCTTTTAGTAATTTTTATTTTTTTTTAAATGGGAAGTCCCTTTAATTGTGGTTGTTGTCATGATTGTGTCCGTAGAAGAGCAGAGTCTTCTCTCTCTCTCTCTCTCTCTCTATATATATATATATATATATATGTATGTGTGTTTTTAGCACTTACCCTTCTTTCAGCTGTGAATTATCCACCCATTTCATGATGCCCTTCTGCTCTGTGTCAGACAAACCAATCCACACTCTCTCACTGACTAATGAAGATATGAACCTCTGTGTGAATAAAAACAAGAATAAGTGTGATTCTCTCATTCATTAACAGCTCTGTGTGAATAAAAACAGGAGTAAGTGTGATTCATCTCATTCATTAACAGACACACACAAACTCACCTGCTTCTCTTCACTCTTGACAATGATCAGATCAGCTCCACGATCCCTGCAGTACTGTCTGCTGTCAGACCAGTTCTTCGCCTCATTGGACATGAAAAACCAACCTGAACCACACAGATTTTCAAACATAAACACTTTTCAAAGCTATACAAAAATATGCAGGAAAAATTATACAAAAGCGGATTTGATCCAACCTCGTTTCTGCCTTCTTAAGTTCATCACTCAAAGACAAGACTCTGCTTTCTAACTTACCTTTCTTCTGCATTAGATCAGTGTAATTGGCCTGTAACTCTTCAACTGTGTTCTTGTAAGTCTTTATCAGGTCTCTCTCTGCTGTGATGGTGAAGTACAGCAGTATGATGAAGATCAGCAGAAGAACACAAATGAGCCCGAGACTCACTGTGATCAACACCAAACATCTACTTCCTCCTGAGGAACACGACCAAAACACACAAACATCAATTAATAACAGTTCACGGAATATTACTAGACAACACCTCAAATCAACATGCAAGTAAAGTGTATGCTTACTTATAATGACAAACAACCGGAATTCCTATAAAGTAAAATATGCAAAAACATTTGTGGAAGAAGTAAAAAAAAAAAAACTATATTAAAATGTTAATAAACTTACTGCATTTTTTAGCGTTTCCTTCTGCTGGCTTGTGATTCTGTGTTTGAGGTCCAAATGTGTGATTAATGTCTTTGTGTTCAACATTTTCATAAACAGCCTCGATCTCCATTAGTCACTGTGGCTGACAGTCTTCACAGATGAGTTGTGAGTAGCTATGTTGCCTAATGTTTTAAAAACCCTAAACCTACACAGGAAGTCATTTGCTAAACTGGTTACACAATCATAAGATGCTGTGGCATATGATGTAACCATTATGTTTCTATTGCATGTATATTTTCTTGTTTGAATCATAGGATCAGCATACTTTATACTCCTGACAAACGAAAACCACAACTGTCATCATGTTTTAACAAACTTTAGTCACATAACAGGTCTATATCAGTAAAGAACATCAAATATCAATTAAAAAATCACTCCATTTCCAATTTAACATTTAAAATCAACCTTCAATCCACTTTGTCATACTTAGATAATGAAGGGCTTTTAAAGAGTGTTTTTAAAATATTCAAACAAGAACATATGCTGAAAAAGTTGAAAAATAATTCCATATTAATAAACCTCAAGCAGAAAAGCAAGTTAATGTGCTTGACTATTTCAGTGTTAAACCCTCAGACATTTATGACGTTGTTTTAAATAAAGGAAACAAGCTTAATTTATAGTTTTAACATTATTTATTCTTCAGACATTCAAATGCAATAAGTTATTTGTTGTATACAAAGTGACCCACGTTTGGTTTTTGACCATGAAAATGGGTAAAATTCAACAATCTGGACATGGAGCCACATTGAGATTAAAAAATGCTAACAAAAGTGTGTACATGCCACAAACCCACATAGGGCTCAGGTGCAGGACAAAAAGGACAAACTGAAGTAAAAATACAAAAGTAATGTCCGTACACTGATATAACTGCTCCATAAAAAATTATGGCAACGTTTCGACCAGCAGGTCTTCGTTAGATGACGAAAAAAAAAAAAAAACCCAGTGCAGTGTTGCCAACTAATTTTCACAATAGTATATCTCAATTTTCAGGGGAAGTTGCTAAAGGAAGTTTTCTTTTTTTTTGCACCAAAACCAAACCATTATAATTACAATTAATTATATATTAATATATTAATTAAACCCATATTAGTTATAATATGGGGAAACCGGACATCCTTGTCTGACTCCTCGATTTAAAAAGAATCTAGGTGACGTACCATTACTTAGTTGAATTGAGCGGTTTCCATTTATGTATAGCATTTTAACCATTCTACAGAACGAGTCACCAAAGCCAATTTTTTCAAGAGCCTGAAATAAAAATGTGTTCCAGTTTATCAAAAGCTTTGTAATAATCTAAAAAGAAAACAAAGCCATCACTATTAATATAATCTGAATAGTCCATCATATCTAATACTAGCTGTATGTTGTTAGAAATATGTATTTTCTGCATGAAGCATTATTATTATTATTATTATTATTATTAACAAATTGACCTTAGTAAGTCACTGACAGGGCTTTTAAAAGTATGCTCTTTCATAATGACAAACGTTTAGAAATGCTGTACGGTAAAATATGCCACCAAGAAAAAAAAATACATTTATTATAAAAGCAGAAACATTGTTCCTAGAAAACCGTTATTTAAATTTTATCCAACAATTTTCAGTTTCTCAAACATTAGCATAAATGTCTCTGCTTCAAATGAAACTTTCTGCTTACTGCACTTTCCAGCGTTTCCGTCAGTTTGGTGCCGACTCTGTGCTCGAGGTCCAGATCTGTTAATATTTCTGCGTATATAAATGTTCTCAGATTCCATTATTGTTTCTTATGTCTTGCAGTATATGTGATCAGATGAGCTGTGGTCTCTTAGAAAGTGTACCTTGTTTTTTTTTTTAAAGAGTGCTAAACTTACATAGGAAGTGGTTTCATTATCAGAAAATCTAGACTTTTTCCCGTTTTAACTCTCTGTAGACTCACGCTATGATTTAATGTATATTATAGATTCATGTATAGACAATCCAGATTTTTTCCCATGATCATGTTGACAGCCAGAAAAGTAAAAAAGGGGGAATCTGTGACTAGTTAAATGGACTCACTCAATGGCAGAGAGGAAAACAGAAGTAAACATTAATAAATATAAAAGCTACAACCCAGCAAACAGAATTTTGTTACAAGAACATTCTCCAAATATTCAGTGTTGGTTCTGGGAACATAAAAAATGTCCAGTTTTCTTGACGTTAGAGGAACGTTTTGAAAAGGTATGATGTTCCTCAAATGTTCTTTCAACTTAATTTTGATTTAAAATTCAACATTCTAGGAACGTTAATTTGTAACATTCCAAAAACAGTAAAATGCCCAGTTTCCTTAATGTTAGTAGAATGTGATTTAAAGGTTAGTATGATGTTCCTGAAACATTCTTTCAATCATTCAAACACCTGCAGTGAGCAAGCACTGAAAGAAAGAGAAATAAGAACACAAACTACAACTTTCTTCAGCCACAGCCTTAGATGGAGTTGTTTAATCAGATCTTGAGAGATTTAAAGTCTTTTATCTTCAGTTCATCTAAGGCATGCTAATGTTGAATTTTAAATCAAAATACAGTTGAAAGAACGTTTGAGGAACATCACACCTTTTAAAAACGTTCCTCTAATGTCAAGAAAACTGGACATTTTTTAAGTTTCCAGAACCAACACTGAATATTTGGAGAACGTTCTTGTAACAACATTCTGTTAGCTGGGAAGTTATTATGCCTCAAATCAGCCCTATGGTTAAAAATCAAATAAAACACTCATGACTCAAAGCAATTCCATGAATCAATTGAGACTGAAGAATTGTTTTGTGAGGTCAGTGCACTGGAGTTCTTCCTCGAAACAAAACGTTTATCAAGAGACATTTTAGTTCCCTTTGGTATATTGCCAGGTTTTATGGCTGTTGTAAATTTCACGAGCCAGTAGATGGCGCTGTTATTGATAGGTTTTGAATCGTTTACCGGTACAATCAGGGGCAACTGAAAATGAAAGTAGAAGGAAAGAAAATGAGGTATGGAAATGAAACAAGAATGTACAACATCTGAAATGAGAAGCAGCTGATGTGTCACATTAAAAAACACGGATAATGTCCTGGAAAATTACTAGTACCTTTTCCATTTTTCTAGATATTTTTCTTTCGGTGTACCAAATGATCAACAATCGCAAGTACAAGCTATAACAAAGTGTATCATAAATGAACAATTATTAAATGACTAAATTATATTAATATTATTATAAAATTAAACAATTGCAAATAGCAGCTAACTTAATTCACGTGATGTGTGTACTACTTGTCATCTTTTGTTTTCTCTTTTTTTTGTAATTTAAATGGTAAATGTTCCTTTTTATCATTTGAGTCACTTGGCAAAAATTGCTAAAAGTTGCCAAATAAAAAAAAAAAATAGCTTAATTTGTTGCTAGGTGCTTTTGGAAGAAAAAGTTGCTAGGGTAGTCTGAAAAGTTGCTACATTTAGCAACACAATTGCTAAATTGGCAACACTGTGACCCAGTGTGAGAATGAACTTTAGCGCCCTCTAGTGTATGAACCTTTCTAGGACTGAGTTAAAAGGTGGTTTTTAATGTTACACATGAGCTTTCGATTCAATTCTAAGATTCAATGCCTCGGAGTATCAATAGTAGCGCCATCTGCTGGCTCGTAAAGTTTACAACAGATATAAAGCCTGAAATTATAATTGAAATGTCCTTTGAAATAAGTTTTGTTTCGAGGAAGAACTCCAATGCACTGACCTCACAAGGTCATTCGTTGATTCGTGGAATTGCTTTGAGTCATTAGTTTTATTTGATTTTTATCCACAGGGCTGGTTTGAGGCAAAATAACTTCGAGCTCTCCAGAGCAATAAAGCAGATACAGTGTGTTGAAGGCTATGTTGTTGATCAGCAGAAGAACACAATAATCTTGAAACCCACTGTGATCAACACCAAACATCTACTTCCTGACAAACACGTCCAAAACACACAAATATCAATTAATAACAAATCACTCCATAAAGATTATTATTATTATTATTCACAAATTGACCTTGGTAAGTCACTGACAGGGTTTTTAAAAGTATGGAAAACAAGTTTTAAAAAAAAAAATGTTATTAAATAGTTTAAAGAGTTTTTTCGGCCATGTTTAATTTCTTTCTACCTTTCATACCTTTCACCAATCTGTCTAACTATCTAATTTAATAGATAGTTTATTTTCAAATCACTGTATAGTCATACATCAAGAGCAAATAAATAAATAAATAAAACATAAGTGCTGTGGGTTTGCTGTGGCAATAATGTCAACTGACTATTTTATTTAAAAAGAAATCAAAAGAAGTTACTCAAACACTCAATATCAGCATAAAAGTGTGAATTATGGGACACTTTGGAGTTTTATAGTTTACTGTGTCTCCTCGACACTTCAGACTGACAAATGAGACTCATGATAACAGCTAGAATAAGATCATATTAATATAGAGCTGCTTGTGATGGAGCAAAACATGAACACATCAGAAAGCTGGCGCATTATCCACTGTCCCACATTACACGAATTCACCTGCGAGAAAAAAGGATGCTGTGAGTTTATTATAAGAAAATAATGACACTTTTACATTTCCCTTTCATATGAATATCCACTACTGATCTTTTTATATTATAGAAAATTATAAAACAAAAATGACATTATAAAAGAGGTTAATATAAAAAGAAAATAGTGGACTGCTAAGGCAGAAACCTACATCATATATAATGCAGTCGCAATAAGAATGATTCCATAAAATAACAGAAGCAAAACCATATCCTATTGCTCACCTTTGAGCCAGAACCTGAATAACATGTATCAGATTTTCTGTTAATTAACTATAAGACAATATAGAATCTTATAAAACTAGGAATATAATCTTACAGGAACAGCTACAAAATATGATAGAATTTCTAATTAGAATCCTGCACAAGTTTTGTATGGGAATCCTTTAGGATTTTTTTGGACAAATGCAACAAATGTTAAAAGATTAAACAAAAGTAGTACAAAGTACAGTAGCACACTTACCCTTGATTCAGTGTTGAATTATCCACCCATTTCATGATGCCCTCCTGCTGTATGTCAGACAAACCAATCCACACTCTCTCACTGACTAATGAAGATATGTGTCTCTGTGTGAATAAAAACAGGAGTAAGTGTGATTCCTCTCATTCATTAACAGACACTCACAAACTCACCTGCTTCTCTTCAGTGTTGATAATGATCAGATCAGCTCCACGATCCCTGCAGTACTGCCTGCTGTCAGACCAGCTCTTCAACTCACTGGACATGAACAAACAAACTGAGCCCTTCTTATTCAAAGACTCAAAATCTCTCTGTAACTGTTTTTTTTTCTCAGCAGTGAGATCTCGGACTTTTTTCTCCAGCTCCAGGTTCTTCTGAGTCAAAGAGTTGAAGTTGTTCTGCAGTTGGTGTTTTTCAGTCATTCGATCAGTGTAATTGTCCTGTAACTCTTCAGCTGTGTTCTCTCTTTATCAGGTCTCTCTCTGCTGTGATGGTGATGTGCAGCAGTATGATGAAGATCAGCAGAAGAACACAAATGAGCCCGAGACTCACTGTGATCAACACCAAACATCTACTTCCTCCTGAGGAACACGACCAAAACACACAAACATCAGTCAATACTCTTCATTAAGTTTCAAATCAACCTCTGTAAGGATATTCTACTATTGCTTTTGGTAACAGACATGCCTTTTTATGTTTTATAAGTATATTTTTATGTAATCTGGAAGTGCTATGACAAAATTTGCAAACAAGAACACTTTGAAAAAGTAAATAAAATAAGTCAATGTTAATGCACTTAATTTAAAAGCAGAAACAGTGACATTACATTTGTAGAAATACAGTATTTGAAATTGTATGTGATGTTTCTCATTTCCTCACAGTAACACTATTAACACCAAGTAATTTTTCTTACTGCGCTTTACATCTTTTCCTTCATCCTGGCCGTGACTCTGAGTTTGACTGAGTTTCTCTGTGTTCAACATTTTCATAAATAGCCTCTAAATCCATTATTCACTGTCTGATAGTTCGTCTTCACAGATTAGATGTGATCTTTAAAATGCTGATTAGTGTTTTGAGTGAAGAGTGCCAAGTCTACACAGGAAGTGGTTTCATTTTACACTGGCCTTCGATGAGAATAAAGTCCTTCAGTTACACCTAAAAACTCTCTGCTGAGCCGTACTACTATGCTTGTGTGTTGTACATTCAGCCACATGTTATCAGCTCCAAAATCCAACAAGAGGAGTCTGTGAACACTCAAATAAACTCAAACAGCCTTAAACAGGCCAAACTGGACCTTTATATTGATGATGCAGTAAAACACAACAGTAAGTGCTCAGTTTCTGATGTTTCTCTTCCTCTCTGACGACTTCAGTCTGATAAACCTGCTTTCTGCTGCATCCTGCTGGACTGGAGGAAATCTCTCCATACAGCAATAGAGAGGTGGAACTACAGGTGCATCTCAATAAATTAGAATGTCGTGGAAAAGTTCATTTATTTCAGTAATTCAACTCAAATTGTGAAACTCATGTATTAAATAAATTCAATGCAAACAGACTGAAGTAGTTTAAGTCTTTGGTTCTTTTAATTGTGATGATTTTTGCTCACATTTAACAAAAACCCATCCACGACATTCTAATTTATTGAGATGCACCTGTATGACGTCACTTTGTAGGCAAAAACCCGGAAGCGAGTTAGCATTATAGCACTTCCGGTTCCATCGTCCCAGAGTCAATGGGTTTTTTGAATGGGAGTTTAATTAAATCCCCTAAAATAAGGTCTGTGGTTCACACAAGCTCAAGATACTTTTACGTTTTATTCTACTACATAAAACACACCAGTTACACCCCACTCGTGATTTTTTAAAACTGTTACATTTCTTAAAAAAGATGGTTGCTAACAAGTTGCTAAATGGGACTACAGGCGCTGTCGGAGACATTTAACGTCATCACGCCGAACAGTTTATCAATTTACAGTATATTCCATTCGCAGTGTATAATTTACAGTACAGTTAATTGTAGAATAACCAATTAATAGTTTACCACATTTTATATTGTTGTTCGACAATGTTTTTTTGCTTTGCCCCGAAATGCAACACAGGTCTTCGGATGGAAGATGCTAATTTTATCGCTTACTGATGCGGAGACTGGGTTCGGACCATAAGGTAAACTCATGTAATTATTCCATGGAAACACCACATTTACCGGCTTAGTCGCGGTGAAAGTGAAACTTTAACGATGCATAGTGCTTAAAGCCACGTTAAAATTAAATGCTTACGGCCACAAGCAGCTGTTAGACTGAGGATTTTCTAGAAGCAAGGATAAAATAATATTTTGTGTACCCGCATCCTAACAAAACGATGGCTGAAATATGGTACTTTATTCAATAAAATAAGTTTAATCTTGCCATATCCAAAAACTCGCTCACTCTGCTGTTATTTAATAGATTAAATGCACTAGAATTTTATTGAATAGAACGTGGAGACACGTTTTTAAATTAAAATATTCATATTAATCAAAGATTTATTCACTTTTAATGCAACTTATTTTGAAATGTACAGAAATACGTGCTTTCATATGTGCTTTAGTTACGATTATTGCATTTATTCACCATACTATTTATTACTAATGTCTCATTTTAATTTTAGTTTGGCTTTAGTTTTGTATTTATTCCAGTTTATATGAAGAGGTTCATCCCAGCTAACAGAATTTTGTTACAAGAATGTTCTCCAAATATTCAGTGTTGGTTTTAGGGTTGGGTATCGATTCAGATGTCCCGATTAGATTCGATTTCGATTCGCAAGCTCTCGATTCGATTCGATTCTCGATTTTTTTTTATTACATTCAGTGAATATACTTTTAATACAAATGCTATTGATATTTCTAAAAAATTAACAGTAAATATCAGTTTACAAATGGTGAATTAATAAAAAGAAAATAAGAACCACATGCCTGTATTTTAAACCTATTCTTTTTTTTGTATAGGGTCCTTTTTTAAACAATAATAGGGCCCTATAAAATTTTCTTAATTTTTCTGGTAATCAGATGAAGGCATAAAACATTAATTTATCCTAATAAAATGAAAATTAAACCCTTATTATTTTTTGGCAAACAAAGTGCTGCACAACAGAGGTTTACTGTTAAAATGAAAAAGAAAACAGATGTGATTATTAGCAGTAGTAGCACTGAGTCTTAAGACTGCTAAATAGTAATATATTCTGACAGAAGAACGTTAAACTAAACTTTTATTTTGACGGGTTGCCGTGAAGAACTTGCAGCTGCTGTGTATGTGATATGACGGTAGTTTTCTCAAATGAAACAGTAAAATGCTAATGAAGTGACTCTCAGAGCAGCTGGAGATGACATTCGTGTTCATATCATCATATAGTGAGACGGCAGAAGCTGTAAACACCGCGAGCGTCATCCGCGCTTTAGTATGTGTGTAGTAAACAAAACAGTGCGCCGTGCCATCCACCATTCATTCATTGCGGAAATCATGGCGCCTATGCGTGATATCAAATGCTTCCGCAGATTTATAGTATTACTATAGCATTTCACCTGAGCATTGCGAATCATGCGTATGGCCATGATAAGTGCTGAATGAATGACAGGCTTTCCGTATGGCCATGATAACTGCTGAATGAACGACAGGCTTTCCGTTGTAACATCGCGATCTGGTGGAGAAGACTAATGATAAGATTCACATTAATCAGATCTTGTTTTAAACGTGTGCTGAAATAAATACTGGAAAAGATAGATTCGCAGCTTTTGAGAATCGATATCGAATCAACATCATTTAAAAAAGAATTAATTGGAAAATCAATTTTTTTGCCCAGCCCTAGTTGGCTCAGAAATGTTTTCTGAAAACACCTGCAATTGCTGCAAAACAAGCAACTCAAGAAAAGTTAAGGGTCAAGAGCCCAACTAAAGCAAACACTGATCTCCATGATGGTGACCTCAAACATTTTTAATAAGACATCAACATCTAAACCTCTGTTAATTCACAATAAGAACTTCTGTAGACGTCTGACAGAAATAAAGTCAATCTGGTTAGTAATAACTGAAGCTGGTAATGCTGTTTGTGGAGTTGTTTAATCAGATCTTGAGAGATTTAATGTATTTTAACTGAGCCCTTCTTATTCAAAGACTCAAAATCTCTCTGTAACCGGTCTTTCTCAGCAGCGAAATCTTTGAAGCTCCAGTTTCTTCTGAGTCAAAGAGTTGAAGTTGTTCTGCAGTTGGTGTTTTTCAGTCATTAGATCAGTGTACAGTTGTCCTGTAAGCTGTTGATGGTTTGATTGAACTCTTCAGCTGTGTTCTTGTAACTCTTTATCAGGTCTCTCTCTGCTGTGATGCTGATGTGCAGCAGTATGATGAATGTGTGTTGTTTTGCTATGTCCCATGCACTGCTCATTAAATTTGAATGATAGAATATTATTGTCAAATCATAAAATTAAAGAAAACAATTCTGCTGTTAATATTTTATTAAATAAGAGATTACTTAATTTGAGTGTATTGATCATTTGGTAATAAATGGAGTTTTTCCATGTCCCTTGAATGGTGTTCCACCCTGTCGTATTGGGGAATCCGCCCCTTTAAGATAAGGACATCCCCTTTAGTGACATCAGGACAACAGATTTTTTTGTCTCTTCAGTGGTGGGAATTTCAACAGCTGAGGTGAAATTTGTTGGTGACTTTTTCAATTTTTTGAGTTTGCTTACCCTGTCGCCATAAAATATGCCATTAAATATGCCAGAATACTGTCGAATACATTATTTTCAAAATATGTAAGTTTAAATATACCAAATACTCTTCAACAACCAGACTAACTATTTAGCTAGTCACAGTTTTTTGTAAGCTAATATGCTAATTGAAGCTCAAAATGTGGGTGGACATAAACATGATAGGGACATAGCATTAATTTGTAGTTAATATTGCTAAAAAATATATGAATATATATGTCATAAATACTATTTATGACATGACATAAAGCGAATGGGAAATTAAAACCAAAATTTGTGAGTATTGTGAGGGTTGAAAGGCATTCTATGGTGATACTGACCCAAATGGAAAAATTATTCTGTTAATACATAACAGTAACACTGACACCTATTTCCTAGAAAACAATAATGCGTTCTCATTTCCTCAAACATTACTGAGCATATCTGCTTTAAATAAACTTAATTAAGCTTACTGCACGTTTGAGCTATTCCATCATCCTGACAGTGACTCCAGTCGAGTCCTTACTATCTCTTTTTTCAAAATGTACATAATAGGTCTCTGTTTCCATTATTTGCACTTACAGTCTTACAGTGTGGTATGTGTAAACAGATGAGCTGTGGTCTCTAGAATGGGTACTTTTTTGCTTAAATAGTGCAAATCCGGCCACTTTGGCGGAAACAGTGCAGTAAGTTTAAGCGGAACCAGACCGAGACCTTGATCACTTAGTAT